CAAAGAGGTTTCTATGCAGAGAAGTAGAAGTCCAGCATTCCAAGCAGCGAGAAAACTGTACTTTGGCATGGTAAATGAAAGTATTTAAGTTGATCACGAAATGATCAGTGGTTTGATATAGCTGAGTATCACTAGATTTGAGAGTGGAATTGCAGGTAGAATCCAGATTAGGAAAATCTTAGATATCATGCTAAATAATTGGGACATTTTTCGGGAGAAACACTGTCGTTTTCAGGCAGGTTGGTATATGAGATATAAGAGGAAAAAATGAGCTCAGAAATTGGAATCAGTAAAGAAGAAATGTCACAAAAGCCAATCAATGAGAAATATGGTGTTTAAAGGTAGCAGAAAATTACCACCCCATAATATTATAATTTGACATAGGATTATTTTGAGCTGAAGGTAGTTAAAAGAAACAGATACAAAAAGAGATCTCTGCCCTTCCGCTATTTGCCTAAAAGCAGGACTTAACTTTTTAAAGCTATTCTTCCTCTGCTCTCTACCAGGAAGGGCAGAAATTCATTACCAGAGATTGCACCAAAAGATCCCACATCGGAAACTTTATTTAATTAGCCCCTAGTTTCCATTAGTTCCTCCATATATTTACATTCCCACAATTTGCTAGAAACTCAAAATCCTTTTTCTTTTTGTTATGATGCTACTTAAATCCGAGTTCTAACCACTCTTTGAGTCATTCATCACTGAATATTCCCATGTGCGTGCATGAACACAAGTTAATAAACTTCTGTTTGTTTTCCTTGTGTTAATCTGTCTTTTGTCAATCTAATTTACAGGGTCCCAGCCAGGGGAATCTAGAAGGGTAGAGGGAAAAAGTTTTTCCCTCCCCTGCGAGTTGTAAATAGGATCGAATGCTGAAGAGAGGTCAGGTAGGATGAAGACTAAAAAGGGTCCGTCGTATTTGGAAATAAAAAGGTCATCAGTGCCTTCTATATAGGCAGTTTCAACAGAGTGTGAGAACAGAAGCAAAATGGTTGCTAAATGCTGACGGAGAGATTCAGAAAATGGAAACATTTGTTCATGCCTCTTTATCTTAAAACTGAATAATTGACAGCTTTGATCATATTCTCTTTCAAGCCGTCAACCTTCACAAAGTAGAGATCACAGATTACATTTGTTGCTCTATGGCTCATCGTCGGTTTTCCCTTTCAGATCCCACCCCACTGGTCAATGGCCTGCAAAAGATAAAAAGTTCCATACTTTATGCTAAGGAAAAAGGCACATTTGCTGGTGAAACTGTCCCTATTTTCCATAACAACCTCACCCTGCCTACATTCATTTCCAACGTAACAATTTTTACAGATCCCATCTCCATTAGCAAATTAATATTGTAGGTAGAACCCACATTGTTGAGTTCTATAATTGGCTTTTATAATATGATATTGCTGCATAGTATTATAATATCTTAAGTGTTTATGACATAAGCTTTATGCATAATTGCTTTTCTTTAAGAAGCAATTTCAAATATATCTAGTTGTATGATTACACATTTGAAAAAGCCTGCAAGGTTTTGTTACTATATCTTAGTAACCTTAGTGTTAACTGAAATGTTAACACTCATTATTTCTTGGTTTTGGGGTTAGATGAGTATGTTTAATGTTCTTATTTTTATATAAAAATATTAAGAAAATATTTCAAAATACTTGTAGTAATAAATGTCAGACTTTAGTTTTAGTCTTCCTTTTCTGAGAAGAGTTGGTACATTTTGTCTATATTTACTCTCAAATTATAGTTTTTAAACTGAAGTTTGTAACTATGAAAATTTCAAACTCTTCGCATCATGAAGGTCAGTGAATTGGCTTGGGTTAAGACTTCATCTGAGAATTCTTGACTTGAGTATACATTTAGGGGATTTGGAGTTTAAAATCTGAATTTTTGAAGGGGAATTGAGCAGGTGAATAAGCCGCTAAACTTTGAAGTATAGTCAGCTTCCGATTATCTGCGTGTGTCAGAGACCATTCCCTCAGACCTGCTGGGAAACTGCCATTGCCTGCATCCAGTGGAAAAGGGTTCCACCCATCTTGCTGGGTTTTAAAGCCACTCTGTCTCCCACCCATGCAAATGGTGGAATTGCTTATGGTCCATTCTTTAAATGCAGCTCCCCTTGACATTAGCAAGGATAATAATCAGGTGAGTAGAGTTTAGGAGATTAAGTTCTAGATGACATTGGCATTCTAAAATTAGCCGTCATATTTACAATTCAAATAGTATTTATTCTTTATGTTGAAATTGTATCTTATTAGCCAAATAAGTTAGCCTATGGTTGTAATCATTTACTTAAAATTAATGAGGCACTGATTTCAAACAGGAGGCTAGTGCTCATTTTCATTTAGATAGTTGTTTTTATGTTCATCTGTTTTGTTATGTGGTATTTATTAAGCTTCATGGTGCAGCTATAAATCAGGGAGAGAGCAGAATCCTGGGGTAAATGAGGTAGCTTTCAGGAGATGGAAAAGCCTGGGCTCAGATATGACTTTATGTTGGAATGCAGAGAGTTAGGTGAGAGCTTCCTAAAGGAGTGAAATCTAAACAGAGATTGAAACCATGAGATGTTCAGGCTGGAAGAGGAGTTAGAAATTGAGAAGGTGGAAAAGAGTGTTCAGGAGAAGAGAAAAGGATATTTGAAGGCATGGAGTCTAGAGAAAGCATACCTTGTTAGTGAAACTGGTTAAAAGTAAACCATCACCACCACCACCATCCCCAACCAAAATCCTTTGATGCAAAGATGGAGCGTGGCAAGAGGAGATGGTAGAGCGATTTAGAGATATGCTTAAGGGTTTTCAGCAAGGTAGTGACCAACTTCATATTTTACAAATATCACTGCTGTTGCAGTCTGTGGAACAGATTGGGGAAGGGCAAGATTGACACAGGCTGAATGGTGAGGGGACTTCTGCAGTAATCCAAATAGGAGATAATGGCGGCCTTGCTTAGGGTGGTGTTGATGAGGAAGATAAGAAATTGATGGGCCCAAGAGCTATTTCAGAGATAATTCATAGCTCTTAGGGTTGGATGAGATAGATGAAATAGGGGAGAGAGGGTAAGTGAGGCTGAATCCTGTTTCTAGCTTGCCAGTAGTCAGGATGGTGGTTCTTCCAAGGAGGTGGTGGGGGGTTGGTTTTTCTCTCCATGACTCTGCTGAGGAGGGTGGGGCTTATGATTTTCTCCTCATGATTGGATGAAGTGAGATAGAAGAGGAGGAGTTTGGAAAGAAGGGAGTATGAATTTTGAGAAAGACCACTCATCAAGAAAATGAAGAACTAGAAAGGGAAAGGTGCTTCTATCATGTGCTGTTTGTATAGTCCATGGAGGCAGCTTCTTACAAGAAACCCTTTTGTTTTATTTGTTATATATCATTTTACCTTTATAACAGTAGATAAATATTATTTTCCTCTTCCAATTTTATAATACGGTGTTCTTCAGTCAAATAGTGTTGGATCTAAAAAGAACCTTGGATGTAATTGTTCTGTCAACAGGGGAGGAAATCAGAGCTCTGAGAGAAGGCCACATCACGTCTGTGGAGTGGCAGAAGTCATGGAACCCAAGTCTCCCAAAGGCCACTTCCTGACTCTCCACAGTACCCAGCGAGCTCCACTTTGGTTCTTGCATTCCATTAAAACAAATAAGTGAAGCTGAAGACTTTATGAAAGAAAAACGTCATTATCACAGAAGAAGGAAAAAATGCATAAATATATATTCTTAACACACTTTTTTGCTAGTACAAAATTCCATTTAAGATAAGCAGGGTTACAGAAATGTAGTCCCTTCTCAGTATTGCGATTCCTGTCCTTCCATTGACCTTCCATCCTGATGAACTGGTAAGGGTCAAACCTCAGGTGATCTGGACTTAGGCTTAGCTTTGTCTCTGATAGATAAATGAACTCGTTCCACTTTTATAGATCTCAGTTTTCATATCTCAGAAAATAAGAGTATGGAACCAGATTTCCTTTAAAATCCTTTCTTTCTTCTCTCTGTATCATTTTATATGTTCCATTACTGGTTGTCTTTACTCTCTTCCTTAAAATGCTTCTCCTCCATGGCAAAAAGAGACCTCTTAAAAAACTTGAGTACGATTTCAGTCAGTGACATGTATGCCTAGGGTGGTCTTGATTCTGGAGTGGACAGAATAGGGCCAGATTTTGTGTTGTTCTGTTAGCAACATGTCACCATATTTACTTTCCTTCTTGGAAATACAAGCCTTGAAATCAGGAAGAGAAGGCAGAAGAGGAAGTTCCTAGAATCTGAAGTAGATGGGAGTGAGTGTAGGGCAGGTGTAATGCTGTGGTCTTCCATGTGGAGAGAGGACCCCCTAGGAGACGTACATGATGATTCACAGGTTTTGGGGAGAAAGTATTAGAACTTCTACTTGTCTTTATTTTTAATTTCTTCCTTTTCAAAATTCTGCTTTTGTGTATATCATAATATATGACAAATCAATATAGTACATGCATATATTTACAAAATGAGTATACATTTTCTTTTATATTATATATTGTGGGATTATGCTTGAAACAGTTTAGCTGACAGAAGGTTATGGTCAAATAAGTTCGAAAACTATTCACCATTCGAGGAGAGTTTGCAAAAAGGCAGTCCAAGGGCATAAAGATAAATACTATGTCCTTAATTTCTCATTTTTGGATATCTTCCTCTGTGGAAATAAAAAGACCTCTAAAAGATAACACCACATAGGATTTTGGGAGTTTAATTTATCTAACTGAGTCTTTACCTCTTACAGAGTTGAGGAAGAGTATTCACCTGCAAAATTTTAATTTTAAGATTAATTTTACTCTTGTTCATGATTTTTGGGGGAATTGTGAAATAATTTATACTGAAAATGACTCAGTATGATTTAACTTAGTTAAACTTTTCAACTCAAGGAGCAAGTAGTAGATTATATTAGTGATTTTAAAAGATTTGGCTAGGAATTTCAAAATCCTACTTCTTCAATTTTTTCCCATTTATCTTATTTTATTTTATTTTTACTGATTTTTTTTTTTCACAGAATAAGACCACAGCTTGCCAAAGAAAGAATTGAAGGATGCCATATTTGTACATCTGTCACTCCAGGAGAACCTCAGGTCTTCCTAGGGAAAGATAAAGCTTTCACTTTTGATTATGTGTTTGACCTTGACTCCCAGCAAGAGCAGATCTACACTCAATGTATAGAAAAACTAATTGAAGGTTGTTTTGAAGGCTATAATGCTACCGTTTTTGCTTATGGACAGGTAAGTACCAAATTATTTTCAAAGAAGCTGTACTGTTCAGAAGTGTCATTTAAGCTGCACTTTCATTTTTGTCACTTGAGATTATGTTAGTAAGATCAAGCACCCATTTTTTCTGTTCTTTTATTCAGACTGGAGCTGGCAAAACATACACAATGGGAACAGGATTTGATGTTAACATCATTGAAGAAGAACAGGGTATTATTTCTCGTGCTGTTAAACACCTTTTCAAGGGTATTGAAGAAAAGAAACACACTTCAATTAAAAATGGACTTCCTCCTCCAGATTTTAAAGTGAATGCCCAGTTCTTAGAGGTAATAATCTAAGTGTGTCATTAGTTTTCTTTAGATTTTATTCTTAAGACCATAGCCCTTATAATTTTATACTCCCGCTTCCAGCTTAGTGCTTGGCACATAGTGTTCAATAAATGTTGTTTGAGTAAATGAACATTAGGTAATAGGTGGCAGTAACAAGAGATAATGGGTAGTAAGTACTCCTTGTGTGTTTGCATTTAAGATCATAAACAGCTAACTGGTGTCCGCAGAGCAACACAATTAATATTGTTTACTTCAGATTCTCTCTTTATCCTGTAATTACTGTTGTGATGTAGGCAGGCTCACAGAATGCTGGGAAATCAGTGACCAACACCAAAAGGGAGGGGGAGGATGTGAGGAATAACAGGATTGACGCTGTAGCACTAGTCCAGCTGCAGGAGCTGGTTTTCCTACAAGGAGGGGCAATGTCCAGAGGTTGGGGCAAGTTTGGATTCATGTAGGACAGTCTAGGCTGGTGGGAGGGACAGGACAGTAAGAGGACACTGAGGATTTGAGCAGTATTGCAGTCGGGTGGACAGTGGCCTTGTAGTTCTGTGTGCTTGATCCAGAGAGCGTGTCAGTCTAACTGTCTTCCAGACCAACTGAGCCAGTCATTTTGCTCATCGATGAAACCTTTTATCCAGCATTGTATGGCACAAAATAGAAGACAGTTCAAATTAGTATCAGTTATCTTGCTGCGGGTTAATGGACATTTATATTTAGTAAAAATCAGAAAGAATATAATTGTGTGTTTCTACCAAAAGAAAGGTAATTAATAGTGGAGAAAGAAAAGAAAGTGTTGTCCTATCTTCCCTTTCACCCTCTGAATGTTTTTAGGCATTGCGACTTAAGCATATTGATCAAAAACAGGTATACGCATCCTCTTCTAAGGTGGCAGCACAATCTCATCAGTATCTATTGATACAGAAACTAAAATACTGCTGACCTTGTGAAAATACTAAGTATCAATTTTTAGATACATTAAGAAGGGTTGTAGGGCGAAAGGAAATATATTTGTAGCTCAAGAAGTAAAAATTCTTAAAATCGTCTCTAAGCTTAAGAGATGTCTACATTTGGTACATATTTTTTTTTAATTTGCTTATGTTTACAAATATTTCTTTATCTCTTGCAAAGGATCAATGGATCATTTTAGCTAATCCTTAACTCCTTAGTCATGATTAAATCGTTTACTGTTCTTACCCTTGTAAAGAAATCTGGCATTTGTTTGTATTTGTAATGAATTTTATGTGTTGTTTGAAGAAATATATGTCATTTGGAAGAATTTTTAAGATATGTTTGAAAAATAACATGTGGTATGTGTTATTACAGTCATGAGGCTATTTCTGCTAACATTAGATTTATTTCTTTTTGATAGCTATATAATGAAGAGGTTCTTGACTTATTTGATACCACTCGTGATATTGATGCAAAAAATAAAAAATCAAATATAAGAATTCATGAAGATTCAGCTGGAGGAATTTATACTGTGGGCGTCACAACACGTACTGTGAACACAGAATCAGAGGTGACGTTTCGCGTTATAGTTAAAATAGAGCACATTTGACTTTATTTAATAGTTATCTTTGCTGATCAAGGTATGAAATTTCTATCTTTAAGTGTGACATGCAGTTAAAATCTTTATCGTCTTCTTCATTTTTTGCCCAGGATTTCATTATTAGAAATGTCAGAGTTAGATAAAGTCATTACATTTATCGTAGCATCAAAAGAAACTAAGGCAATGTGTGTATAGCTTTCTTTCACAGCTAGAAAAAGAGGGTTAGATAATTGAAAGTGAAGTATGAGACCACAGTCCTTTTGTACTTTTTGCTGTAACATATGTAGGACTATATCATGGCTCCTAAAGAGAGACTGTTAAGAAAATTACAAAAAAAATTTCAGCAGAAGGTACAGAAGATAACTCCAGTTATTGTTTAGCTTGTTCCAAAGTGTTCTACTGTAATAGTTTTGAAATGGAAGCTGCAAATGTCAGCCAGTGGCAAACAATGGAATCTCAGTGTTTTTCCTATTAAAAAAAAAAAAAACACTATTATTATACTGAGAAGTTCAGCTCAAAAGTGCCTGTAACCAAAATAAGAATCTATGTCTTTTACATTCCTTAATGTTGTGGATTTTAACCATTAGCTCAGACTTCTGATTGTGTGGACCTTATTTAAGTATTGTTCATGAAAACTCTTCTTTCTTTCCCTTTTCCAGATGATGCAGTGTTTGAAGCTGGGTGCCTTATCCCGGACCACTGCTAGTACTCAGATGAATGTTCAGAGCTCTCGTTCTCATGCCATTTTTACCATTCACTTGTGTCAGACCAGAATGTGTCCCCAAATAGATGCTGTGAGTTATTAGTTCTAATCTCTTAACATTTTCAGGTTTCACTTTCCTAAAATCACATGAATTCTCAGAGAGATCATTTGTGCCAAATTTAGTTTGTTTTTAACCATTCCTTTTCCTAATGAGATGTCTCTGATCCTGTTTAAGCTAAAGCTGGCCAACCATGTAAGATTTTGAAATAAAAAATTGGATATATGTCTGCAACAGCCAGAGAGCAAGCTGTGGCCATATGGTGATGGATATGGTTACCTGAGACCCTTTGTTTTTGAGAACTGTATGTGTTACAAATTTCCCTTCAACGTAAGCAAAGCCTCAGTCGATAACCGTTGAGTTTTGACCTTCTCTGACCTAACTTTGTCTACACTTCTAATCGCATCAGACTTCTTTATACTTATTTTATTTGGCTACATGCCTATATTTGGCTATATATTTGTATATATATGTAGTATATATTATTTCAGAGGTCTGGTACCATATATACTATTTCAACCACTTATGTGGGAGTGTGTGGATGCTTTGCTGTGAGAGACATGCTCAGGATTCTAAAGGAGCAGCAACTTAAAAAAGTGAGGAATAAAACTTTGGCTTAAAATTTAAAAGAAAGGAAAGAAAAGGTCAAACTGGTGCAAGTTTTCTTATGAAAGAAATATTGTGGACTAAACCCTCATAAATGCTGTCTAATGGGATTCCTTCATTTTCTTTCACTGTTAGCACTTTCACTGTTGGTTATATCATTCTTTTATAGTTAGGTTTAATAAATAATGTGAGAACTATATGTAGAAATATGAAAAATATATATATAAAATGAGGGCAAGGTGGGATTGGAGGATATTTAGTGTCACATTGATAAAATATTTTCGATTATTTTCTTCAACTGCAGGAAAACGCAACTGATAATAAGGTGATTTCTGAATCATCCCAGATGAATGAATTCGAAACTCTGACTGCAAAGTTCCATTTTGTTGATCTGGCAGGATCAGAAAGACTGAAGCGTACTGGAGCGACTGGCGAGAGGGCAAAAGAAGGCATTTCCATCAACTGTGGACTTGTAAGACTAAGACGAAGGCTTTGTGCTGACACGATATCGGAGCTATGTCATTGTCCTTTTCCCTTTTGGCATACATAATGCACTGGGCTGAGAAAGCAAAATTGCTATAAACCTAGGAGTAATGCATTGAATTTTGATCTCCTCATGCTGTCAGATTTTTTTTCTCCTTTTGACAACGAAACTTTTCTTCATGTGTAAAAATTTCATTGGATTAAATTTTATGATGTGTGCATAAAATAATATATATAATAGAAATGACAAACATTCTTTTCATGTTTAAGACTATGCTGTTTTAATACTAAATATTTTATGGGATGACTTTCATAGTAGCTTTTTTGCTAACATTTTATGAGACTTTATTTTGGAAATTATAATAAATTTTTTTTAGTAATGATCACTTCAAAATGAGAAGTTTTCTAGATTGTATTAGGAATTAACTTTTAATACCAATGCCACTTAGTCGTGTTTTTGTTTGGAAAAGAACACCCCGTGTTTGAGTTAGCCTAAAGCTTCTATTACATGGAAGAAAACACTCTTGAACCAACTTTTTATGTAATAAATCTTTCCTTCTTACTGATGTGATTATAAAGTTGGTCATTTGTTCCTGCTTAAATGTAATGACATCCTAAATTTCTGTGATGCTGACAGCATCAAGACGTGTGTATTTTGCTTTGCTTCTCTCCCTTTCTTCCTAGAGGTGGGGCTCCAAGCATATGGTGTTTTTTGTTTTGGGGGTTTTTTGGGTCGTTTTCCAATATTTGCTCTTGTATGATTGCAACCCTTCTGCGGGGGAATTACCAGCTGAGGGTGATTAGAGAGAGCCAGTCCCCGTCTTGATGCTCCAATCCCCGTCTTGATGCTCCCACCATATGTTTGAATATTGTGTTAAAGGGAGTGAAAGACCTGGATCCTGGACTTTGTGTATTGTTTTGAATTTCTTAGAAAATAAAATCATGGTGGTATTTTCATTTGTGCTGTCAGGAAAAGACAAAAGCCACTGCACTGTTTTCCTGTGCATGCTACGTGGTAGAGCGGTTCAGTGTGGCCAGTGGTTAAAATTGTATCCTCTTTGGAAAAGGAGGACTGAGACACAATGTGACGCTCATGCACTCTCAGCATCATCTGTTGGCTCGAACAAAGACATCGTTACAGATGTTTGCATTACTGAAGGAGAGCGCGACCCGGCATGCTTACCCTGTACCTGCTAGTTCAGTGACAGCAGCAAAAGCAGTAGGCGTGGCAGGAGGAGTGACTAAAGAGTTCTGAAATTTGACCTTGTTTTTTAAATATTGGATGCTTAGCATGTAGAATCATTGAATTTCTAGGTAAGGCTATCCTTGCATTAGGAATACTGAGATTCTTCAGAGATATCATACTGATATTTTTATCGAGGTTGAAGGAGATTTTGTCTTCCCATAAGGCAGCCATAGTGCAACAAGAAAGTTTCATGAAACGAACTAACAAACAAGTTATTTCTTCATTGAATTGAGAAGAATTTGCAACATAAATTGGCAGTTTTGGGGGGAATACAACCCAATGCTGTGTTAATTCTAGAAATGGTCAGAAGTCATCAATCTTATAACATTTCTATTTCTAAAGAAAATCCCTGAACAGAGGCTTAAGGATTTGTGAATTGTGAGCATCTATAACACTAAATTTTGAGCAGTTGTCAGCTTTATAGTCGTTAATATGGAAAGCTTTGAAGTTTTCTATATACTTTAAAATACAAATGCAAAGTAAAACCAAATACAAATGTTCTCAGTTCTGCCACGTTTTCACATTATTTTCTATAAGCTTTCGGTATTTAAAAGTGTTACAGTTGGTAAATTTTTTATCATTTTTCTCTCTCTCTTTCTCTCTTTTAGTTGGCACTTGGCAATGTGATAAGTGCATTAGGAGACAAGAGCAAGAGGGCCACTCACGTTCCCTATAGAGACTCTAAGCTGACAAGACTACTGCAGGATTCTCTTGGGGGTAATAGGTATGCAAACGTGTTTATCCTCCATGTTCCCGTGTTTCAATTATTCTTTAAACATAAGTTTGTAATGTGATTTATAAGAACTGTTTTTAACTATAAAGCAAATTATTAGGATGAGGAACTAATAATTATTGAGTACCTCCAAGGTGTGAGTTCTTCTGGAAGTTGTTATTTCACATATTTCTTATAACATCCCTTGAGGTGGGTGTTATTGTTCCTGGTTTATAGATAAGGCAGTTGAATTCTAGAGAGGTCGAGTAATTTATTCAGTCATTTAGCTCAGGAGTGAAGTCCTTGGCATGTGCTCTTTCTACTACATCATAGTTTCAGTTTTCAGCGATTGGCACATAGAAGGTGCCTAGTAAAATTTTGCTGAAAAATAAATGCTCTCTTCTGTGTAATCGCAAAGTAATTTAAATATTATTGATAATTTTTTATGAAGTCTTCTAAAAATTAAACTTTTTTTTATACTTGGGAAAACTTTTGTTTAATGTCAGTTGAATGAAATACAGGGTGTTAGCTGGTTACTAACTTGGCCAGAATCACTGATACCGCTCCTTTTCCGTCCTTGGCATCATTCTGGTATGTTTCATCAGCTAAACACATTCTTTGGGGAATGCATTCCTCTTTATAAACATCAACACGTTGGCTTTAAAAGTGGAAACATTTTTGGCATTTAAATTCAATCATAGCACAATTCAACAAGTTACAGACAACTAAAGTGAATCGATTTTGCAGTGTTTTCAATGGTTGAACATGTTTACTGATGCTGTCAAAATGATCCTTAGATGCTTAAAATTATCTGGTAGTTAAACTTGTAAACTTTCTCTCTGAACAACTATTAGTCAAAGAATTTTGATAATGTTGAGTCTATTTAGGTTTGAAGTTGGATGGATTTAGAAATAAAGTTTTGTTTTATAGAATTCAGTGGTCTCATTTTTATTTTATTTGTTTATTTTAGGGTTTTTTGGGGGGGAGGCGGAGGTAATTAGGTTTATGTACTTATTTACTTTCTTCAGAGGAGGTACTGGGGATTGAACCCAGGACCTCATACATGCTAAGCATGTGCTCTACCACTTTGAGCTATACCCTCCTGGCAGCGGTCTCATTTTCATATTCCTACTCTTTATGTAATGTTCATATTCTTTGTATTGCTTCCGTTGTGTATTTCTTACTTCTGTTCTATATTTTCACTCTGACCTTCAGTATCAATCTGAGTCTTATTGTAACAGGACAAATTTTTTTTTGTTTTTTAAGCCAAATATAAATTTTTAAAGTTTACTAAATTGTAGCCTTTTCTTGTATTTACTTGTTAACTTATAACTTTGTTTTATAACAAAGCAGAAATGGTAAACATCTTCCCCTTACAAGTGTCAATACTTTTGAATAATACTTCTGAAAGTTTGCTTGCCCTGTAACAGTCTTAAGATATTTGTACTCTGGCTTTGGATTCTTCTTGAGTTTTATGTAAGCTACAGCTAAATAGTCTCCTCTGTTCCTCACCCACTTCCTCACTGGGTGGTCACTGCTCTCTTCTAATTCTGTACTCAGTGATCTTCCATTCCTGCTTAAAATTGTGAGATTGAACTTCTAGTTCAAAAGCGTTATATTTTGTATAACCTGGAGAATAAAGCACTTCATTTTGTGATGTTTGTACAGATTACTCTTAAGAAAAATTAGGCCAAAGATATTTTTAGAAACAAGCTGCCTATATTTATGTGCACAATTTAGTGACTTGTTTTTCCAACCAAGCTGGCTTTCATACATTTATAATGTTTAACATTTTAAAAAGTTTATGCCTAAAATTCTGAAAAATACAGAAAAATTTAAAACATGAATAAAAATCACTTAGATTTTTATTACCTGTAAGTAACTATTGTTCATATTGTGATATATTTCCTCCCTAATATATGTGATATAACAATATGTAAGATAACATAATATATTTAAATGATACGTTTTTTTTTTTTAATTTTTAAAAATTTTTTCATGAACAACTCTTCTTGAAATTTGTATCTTTTGGGTTTTATTTAATATGTCACCTTTTTTCTATGCAGTAGATTTTAGCTCCTCTCATTCTTGTCTTGCACTAATCTTCTTAAGCACTTGATCCCAGGACTCCTCAAAATATGTGTGAAGGGCGAGCCCTTCTCCTTCCCCACTTCCCGTTTGTGGTAGATTGATGTTGTACATGACTGTACTCAGCTTGTCCCATTTTGTGACTTTTTATGTGAGTTTGAATACACTTGAACTGGTCTGTCTTCTATTCAATGAAATGAGCAAGCTCCAATGTTGTAAAAGTTTTCAAAATGCTTATTTTCAATTTCTGTACTTACTGTGACAATAATGTACAGGATGGCCCTGGGCTGGGCACCACACTTTGAGCAGTCCTGTCCTCTAATCAGTATCCATAATCATCGCTCTCACTTGATTGCCTTGTCTCCTCCATCAAAAGATATGCATGAATTATCTTAACTTTCTGACCTCAAATAAATAAACATGACGTACAATTACTAATGACCTAATGTCTTCCAAATAACACAAATGTAATGACTAATGCGTTCCAAATATCATGTTGTACAGAGTATTCTGATGAGTAAAAAAGACTTGATGATCCTTCCCTCTAGGAGTTTAGGATCTAAGAGTTGGGCTCTATAAGCTTTCAGTGTAGTCACAATCATAACTTACTCATCATCTACAAAAAAGAGATAGGCAGAGAGTGTGAGAAGGTCGAGAGAAAGAGTACAGCCACACTGAGGACTGGATTCTCAGACTAGATGATCTCTGAGTTGAATCTCGAATAATCTTGTAAGGGTAAGTCATACATCTCAAGTGTAGTAAATGTATGTTGTTTTTGTCTTTGGAGGATTACCTGTCACAGTCCCCAGAGGGAGGCTAGAGCAGTGAGCTAGTTGTGAGATGGAACAGGCTGCCAGGGGAAGCTGAAATAATTCTGTAATACAGATCAAATTCTCCCAAGAAAAGTACTTGCTGATGACTGCTATCCCCTAGAAGAATAAACTTTAACTTCAATTAGTCTGGCGGCACAATAACTAGTTTCCAAGGGGTTATACCCAAGGAAGTCCATGCTTTCTCAAAGGGTCTGCCTCCTGTATACTCTTGTATACTCCTGTATACCCACTTATTACCTAACACATTTTCCCTTTTGATTAAAGTGTATCGAGGGTGCAAAATCAAATAAGTGGGTTATCTGTCCTTTTTGTTATATGTATTAATAGTTCCTTAGCTTAAAACTTGTATTTAGTGAGTACTTCAGGGTAAATATCAAGTTACTCAAATTATTGTTTTTAGGATGATATGATGGATTTTAAATAAATAAATAAGATCTGGAATGTTAAAAAATAAAAGTAAGAGTAAGTAAGGTTGAGCAAGAGTTTGTAAAGGGAGGGAGATAGGTGGAGTGGACCCCCTTTTAACAGGGTTACCATGAAGGGCGTTATGCTAAGTGAGATAAGTCAGACAGAGAAAGACAAATACTGTATGACAGCACTTAATGTGGAATCTGAAAAATACAAACAAACTGGTGAAGCCGACTCACACGTATAGAGACAAACTAGTGGCTCCCGGTGGGGAGAGGGAGAAGGGGCAATAAAGAGGTCGGGGAGTTGGGGGTACAAACTATTGGATGTTAGAGAGGCTCAAGGATGTATTGTACAACACGGGAAATATAGCCAATATTTGGTAGTAAGTGTAAATAGAAAGTAACCTATAAAAATTGCATAAAAATTAAAAAGTTAAAAAAAAAACCACAGCGAGACATTACTACGTATCATCTAAAATGATTAAAAATACAGCTTGACGATATGAAAAAAATTTAAAAATAAAAACATAAAAAGGTTACTGTCAGTACTATGAGTGCTGTGTTGGGATTATTGGGAGAATGCAGAAGTGGAAGCAGGGGCTAGGAGGCTGTAGACTAGGATTGATAGCTGTGAATTTCCTACCAGGGTGGGTAAATTAGCTCCTTAATTGTAGTTCCTGTGTATTTTTTTGTTAGTGTGTGGGTGTGCATTAGAATGTTCACATCTGTTTCATTGATAGAAATAGCTTAAGCATAATAAGTATTTTATTATCCTGTTCTTCGATTTGTAAAGCAATTCTTCATGATTGTAAAGTAGTGTTTCCCATTGTTCCTATGTAATGTGGCCAGAAACTCTGGAACTCTTGACTACTCAACCACAAGTGGTGTTTCATATTGTAAAACATATGGGTATACTAAATACTTTTCTTGATCAGAGGATTGGATTTTGTGTAAAATTCTTTGCTGACATTAAAAAAATCAGGATTCAAGTGATTAAATGAAAAGAAGAAAAATGTGAAGTCCTGAAATATTAAGTAGAGAATGAAAGCAGTGGTTTTTGAATTTCAACATGTCATATTATAGGTAGATTAAATTTTAGAATTACTCTGTGTGCATCACTTCAAAAAATTTTGTAAAGAGGTGAGAAATATATGCCTTCTCAAGGTATTATGAGTCAAAAAAATATTAATTCATTTCCCCCAGTTTTACCCAAGGAAATAAAATCTTTTTCCTTATAATAGTCTTAAAGCACTGGGGCTTTTAAAGTTTACTTTTATTTTAAGTTAGTAATATCAATCTTTTGGTATCTTGAAGAGTAGATACTATTCAAAGGGTAGGAATTTAAAAATGATTATTTCAGTGTTTTATTTGCTTTTATCTGTAAACCTAATTATCATTTGTAACTTTCAGCCAAACAATCATGATAGCATGTGTCAGCCCTTCAGACAGAGATTTTATGGAAACTTTGAATACCCTGAAATATGCCAATCGAGCTAGAAATATCAAGAACAAGGTGATGGTCAATCAGGACAGAGCTAGTCAGCAGATCAATGCACTCCGTGGTGAGATCACACGGCTTCAGATGGAGCTCATGGAGTACAAAACAGTAAGCTCATGGTTTTGACTTTGCATTTTGTGATACACGGTGTGTACACAGTGATAGCTTTTTGTAATGGCTTGCTCATGTATGTCTCTAGTAATGGTGGCATCTTTCCTTTTGGAGGTAGAATTCTCCAGTTTTCCTTGTGGGTAGCCTATGTTCACTCTACAGCCTGACCAAACTTCTTGTTTCAAAAGGCTTCCTACGCAGTCAATGTCTTCAGTGACAAATGCTCCATGGACAGTTGTCGTAGAGGGAAAAGGATCTCTTTTGCCTTGAGGCTGTTAAAACAAAAGGGCTCTTGACTGTAGAATTGTGTAGTCCTGTAGTATCCTTTAACAAAAACTCTTGGGTATTTAAAGCTTCTTAACGAACGGGGAAATGTTTTTCTTTTCTAGGGTAAAAGAATAATCAATGAAGAGGGTGTGGAAAGCATCAACGACATGTTCCATGAGAACGCTATGCTGCAGACTGAAAATAACAACCTGCGTGTAAGAATTAAAGCCATGCAGGAGACAGTTGATGCACTGAGGGCCAGAATCACACAGCTCGTTAGCGATCAGGCCAATCAAGTCCTTGCCAGAGCAGGTATGTGTGTAGGGAGGGAGGGAGGGGTTCACTTGCGGAGGGCAGGAAACATACTTCATGTTTGTTAATTATGTGGAATATTTGAAATGAAAAAGTCAATATCTGTGTTTACAGTCTGTGATTTTAAGTTACTTAATTTGTGAATAATGCATTCTTACAAAAGCAAAATATGTCCTTCGCTTTATCGTGTTATCTTATTTTCTGCTCATGTAATTAAGGTCAGGAAATTTGCTGTTTAAATTGTATTTTTCAAGTATTCTTGTTTGGTTTCTATAACTTGATTCTTTTCTCTCTGTTTTGTTGAATTTTTATTTTAGAGGAAATTCTTGATTTCATCTTTATCTTGCAGGTGAAGGGAATGAGGAGATTAGTAATATGATTCACAGTTATATTAAAGAAATTGAAGATCTCAGGTACAGTTCATGTTCTGTACTATATAATGCGCATAGTATGGGTTTTGCAATGAAGTGTTATTGCTATTTGTTGGGCTAATTTTGTAGTAACTGTTCACAGTGATATTTCACCCCTTAACGTTCAGGGAATAGTACTTGCCTGTTATGGAACATATGGGAACATAATGTCACATTGCAAACTACTTTCCTTGCCTCTCTTCCCACATTATCTTCCCGTGTTATCCTCCTACTCTTGTTCTTATACCCTTCATTGGAGGCTTACCTAACCTGATATAAGGATAGGCATAGTTGGTTTGATAAAGTTACCTCCCTGTGCCTCTTCATCCACCATTTGAGAATGGCCCACATCAGTAAGTCATCTCTAATTTTTTTAAATCTTCTGTTGCACCTGTTCCCTAAGAGTTCTCCAGTGACTCTTTATGTGTGAGTTATTGCATCCCTACCAGTTTGCCTGCCTCTTTGGTACACACAGAAGCTCACTCATCACCCACATTTCACACACGTACTGCAGGTACTCACTATATGCCACGTGTCATGCCGTGGACTGAACAAGTGTGACATAAACAAGGAGTTCACAGTCAAGGTGGGTCACCTGACATAAATAGTCACATGTGGTAAACAGGATGACAGAAATTGGCCACACGCCTAGTGTGGGAATATGGGGGGGACCACTGAGCTCTGACTGGGAGAATATAGGGTCAAAAAGAACGTCAAAGGCACTAATCATTTCTGTGATATTTTCAGATTCCATGGTTTGCCCTGATGGCTGAGCTGCTTTCTCTCTCTCTTTAATTGAAGTATAGTTGACTTATGTTGCTAGTTTCAGGTGTACAGCTAAGTTGATTGAGTTATATTTGATATATATATATATATAATATCTTATATATATATATATTCTTTTTCAGATTTTTTCCATTATAGGTTGTCACAAGATATCAAGTATAGTTCCCTGTACTAGACATAGGATCTTGTTGGTTATCTATTTTATATATAGTAGTATGTATATATTAATCCCAAATTCCTAATGTATCCCTCTCCTACCTTTCCTCTTTGGTAACCATGAGTATGTTTTCCATGTCTGTGAATCTTATTTCTGTTTTTATAAATAAGTTCATTTGTGCCATTTTTTTTTTAGATCCACATAAGTAATACCATATGATGTTTGTCTTTCTCTGTCTGACTTACTTCACTTAGTATGATAATCTCTAGGTGCATCCATGCTGCTACAAATGGTAGTATTTCATTCTTTTTTATGGCTGGGTAATATTCCATTGTGTGTGTGTGTCTGTGTGTGTGTATACTCACACACACATACCACATCCCCTCCATCCATCCATTATTGGACATTTAGGTCACTTCCATGTCTTAACTATTATAAATAGTGCTGCTGTGAACACACTGGGATGCATGTATCTTTTCCAGTTAGTTTTCTCCAGGCATATGCTCAGGAGGGGGATCCCTGTATCATATGGTAACTCCATTTTTAGTTTTTAAAGGAGTCTCCATGTTGTTTTCTATAGTGGCTGCATCAGCTTACATTTCACCAATAATGTGGGTGGGTTCCCTTTTCTTCACACTCTCTTGAAAATTTATTATTTGTAGACTTTTTGATGATGGCCAGTCTGACTGGTGTAAGATGATAACTCATTGTGATATTGATGTGTATTTCTCTAGTAGTTAGCAGTGTTGAGCATCTGTTCCATGTGCCTGTTGGCCATATGTATGTCTTTTTTGGAGAAATGTCTATTTAGATATTCTGCCCATTTTTTTTAAATTTTTTTTTTAATATTGAGCTGTATGAGCTGTTTGTGTATTTTGGAAATTAATCCCTTGTTGGTTGCAGTGTTTGCAAATGTTTTCTCCCAGTCTGTGGGCTGTCGTTTCATTTTGTTTATGGTTTCCTTTGCTGTGCAAAAGCTGTTAAGTTTAAGTAGGTCCCATTTGTTTATTTTTGTTTTTATTTTCATTTCTTTAGGAAATGGATCCAAAAAAATATTGCAATAATTTATGTCAAATAATGTGTTATTTTATGGTTACCCCTATGTTTTCCTCCAGGAGTTTTAGAGTATCTGGTCTGTAATCCATTTTGACTTTACTTTTGTATATAGTGTTAGAGAATGTTCTAATTTCATTCTTTAACATGTACCTGTCCAGTTTTCCCAGCACCACTTATTGAAGAGAGTGTCTTTTCTCCACTGTATTTTCTTGCCTCCTTTGTCGTAGATTAACTGAGCATAAGTGTGTGGGTTTATTTCTGGACCGTTTATCCTGTTGCATTGGTATATATGTCTGTTTTTGTGCCATTACTGTTCTGTTTTGATTACTGTTGCTTTGTAGCATAGTCTGAAATAAGGGAATGTGATTCCGCCTGCTCCTTTCCTCTTTCTCAAGATTATTTTGGCTCTTTGTTGTCTTCTGTGTTTCCACACAGTGTAAAAATTTTTGTTCTAGTTCTATGAAAAATGCCATTGGTAATTTGATAGGGACTGTATTGAATCTGTAGATTGCCTTGGGTAGTATGGTCATTTTAATATTGATTAGGTGCATATATATTTACATTTGTTATATTTTCTTTTTTGATTGATCCCTTGATCATTGTGTAGTGCCTTCTTTGTCTCTTGTCATAGTCTTCATTTTAAAATCTATTTTGTCTGATATAAGTATTGCCACTCCAGCTTTCTTTTGATTTCCATTTGCATGGAATACCTTTTCCATCCCCTTACTTTCTGTCTGTATGTGTCACTAGAGCTGAGGTGGGTCTCTTGTAGACAACATACATCCCAGTCTTGCTTTTGTATCCATTCGGCCAGTTTATGTCTCCTGGTTGGAGGATTTAATCTGTTTACACTTAAGGTAATTATCAACATGTATGTTGTTATTGCCGTTTTGTTAATTGTTTTGTATTTGTTTTTGTAGATCTTTTTTTCCCCCCTTTCTTCCTTTGTTCTCTTCTCTTGTGATTTGATGACTATCTTTAGTGTTAGATTTGTATTCTTTTTCTGTTTTGTGTGTATATGTATCTTAGAATTTTGGTTTGTGGTTACCATGAGGTTTTGGTATAGCAGTCTGTATATATACATGATTGTTTTAAGTTGCTGATCTTTTCATTTCAAAAGCATTTTAAATGCCCAGTATTTATACTCCTCCCCTCATGATGACTGGTTTTGATATCATATTTTACATCTAATTGTTTTCTGTATCCTTTTACTTCTTGTTGTGGATACAGATGATTTTACTGCTTTTGTCTTTTAACCTCCCTACTAGTTTGTGTGTGTATAATTTCCTACCTTTATACTGTATGTTTGTCTTTACTGGTGAGCTTCTCCATTTTGTAGTTTTCTTGTTTATGCTTGTGGTCTTTTCTTTTCTTCTTAGAGAAGCTCCTTTAGCGTTTGTTGTAAATACTGGTTTGGTGGTGCTGAATTCTTTTAGCTTTTGTTTATCTGTGAAGCTTTTGATTTCTCTATCAAATCTGAATGAGAGCTTTGCTGGATAGAGTATTCTTGGTTGTAACTTTTTCCCTTTCATCACTTTAAATATATCGTGCCACTCCCTTCTGGCTTGCAGAGCTTCTGCTGAAAAATCAGCTGATAGCCTTATGGGAATTCTCTTGAATGTTATTTGTTTCTTTTCTCTTGTTGCTTTTAACATTTTGTGTTTAAGTTTTGTCAATTTGATTACTGTGTGTCCTCTTTGGATCAATCCTGAATGGAATTCCCTGTGCTTCCTGGACTTGGGTGACTGTTTGCCTTCCCAGGTTAGAGAGTTTTTAGCTATTATCTCTTCAAGTGTTTTCTCAGATCCTTTCTCTCTTTTTCTTCTGGGACACCTATAAATTGAATGTTCATATGCCTGATGTTGTCCCAGAGGTCCCTTGAACTTTCCCTGTTTCTTTTTATTCTTTTTTAATTCTGTTCTGTGGCAATGATTTCCATTATTGTGTCTTCCAGCTCACTGATCCATTTTTCTGCCTCATTTATTCTACTATGGATTCCTTCTAGTGTATTTTTCATTTCAGTTATTGTATTCTTCAACTCTGGCTATTCTTTATATTTTCTAACTCTTTGTTAAAAAATTCTAACTTCTTGCTCTGTGCATCCATTCTTCTCCCGAGTTCTTGGATCATCTTTACGTTCATTACCCTGGACTTGGGTAAATTGCCTCTCCCCACTTCACTTAGTTGTTCTCCTGGGGTTTTATCATGTTCCTTTCTTTGAATATATTCCACTACCATCTGTCTCTCTCTCTCTCTCTCTTTTTAAAATAAATTTCTATTTGTATTTTTATGTATGTGGTAGGTTAGTTATGTTTTTCGACCTTGAAGAAGTGGCCTTCGGTAGGGAATGTCCTATGCGTCCCAGCAGTATGCTCCCTTCTTGTCACCCAAGGGCCAGGGGCCAGCTGGTTCCAGGGGATGGTCTGCCTTGCATTTGCAGACTTGGTGCTATAGGCTGCGGAATCATTGTTTTCTTGCTTCTTGTGCCTGCCCCCTGGTGGGTGAGGCTGGTCTAGAAGCTTGTGTCAACTTCCTAGTAGGAGGGGCTGGTGGGTGGAGCAGGGTCCTGGCCCTGTGGTGAGCAAGGCCACACCTAGGGACGTGTCTAGAGGCAGCTTTGGGCTCAGGAAATATTTAGGCAGCCTGTCAGCTGATGGGTGGGGGCAGTGTTCCTGACCAGTTTGTATTTGGCCTGAGGTTTTCCAACACTGGAACCTACAGTTGTGTGTGTCAGGTCTGGGTGCTAATGATCCCAGCAAGGTGTCAGCCTCCAGGAGAGTTCATGTAGATTAATACTCCCCAATGTGGCCACCACCAGTTTTTATGTCCGCAGGGTGAGTCCCAGCCACCTCCCAACTCCCCAGGAGGCCCTCAAAGACCAGCAGGTAGTTTTGGCCTAGGCTCCTATGAAGTTAATACTTTTGCCCTTGGGCCTGGTGCATGTGAGATTTTGTGTGCACCCTTTAAAAGTGAAGTCTCTCTTTTCTGCAGTCCTGTGGAGCACCTTTAATTAAGCCCCATTGGCCATCAAAGCTAAATGATCTGGGGGCTCCTCTTCCTGATGCCAAACCTCTGGAATGGGGAGCCTGATGTGGTGCTCAGAACTCACTCCTGTGGAAGAATCACTACAATATAATTATTCTCAAGTTTGTGGGTCACCCACCTGGGGATATGGGGTTTGATTATATCACAAGTGAGCCCCTCCTACCCATCTTGTTGTGGTTCCTTCTTTATGTCTTAATTATTATTTAAATCCAGGTTCTCACATTCTGTTTTTATCTATGAAATCCTACTCCAGTCCAGAACTTAATCAGTACTTTCTCTCAGGAAGGCGTTCATTTCCAGCCACTTAATGCAAATTACATCAGTGTATTGCCACTTGGTAATTTTTATATTTTAAGTCTTATCATTTTAGTTTTAAAGTAATACTGGTTACCTTTTAATAAATTCACATGTCATTATTTGTTGTGAAATAATAATAATAATAATAATAATAATAATAATAAATTAATCTTAGTTTTTGGGGGGTTTAAAGTTTTTGTAGAAATGTCTGAAAGTATAGGAAAGTATTAAAAAAGTTCAAATCTATATTCCCACCATTCCAAGAACTGATGTTAACATTTTTGGTTTATGTCTTCAATATCTTTTTCACTGCACACTTCAGAAAAATTTTTATCAGGGTGTATCTATTTGCTATCTATTTACTATCTATTCTTTGCTATCTATTCTTTGAAATGTGACAAGATATTAGGAGCATTTTTAATGTTGTTAAATATTTTTCTAACGTGATTTTTTCATGACTCCGTGAGTACTGTCTTGTGTGATTGTATTGATTTATTTAATGAATCCCCTACTGTTAGATAATTGTATTGTTTCCAACTTTTTGGTAAGAATAGTTATTACTTGTTAAAAACATTATTAATTTAAATTCATTATAGCATCCTCATAGCCATCCTATAGAAGTATATATTTTTATCTTCATTTTATGGAAGAAAGAGGGGAGGCTTTTAGAGATGGCCCAAGATCCAGTGAGTGACAGAGCTAGGATGTAAGCCTCAGTTTACTCATTCCCAAGGAATTCTGTGTACTTCCCCTCATGTCTCACTGCCTGATCTCCTATTAAATGAAATGCAGAGAGCAACAAGTGTGTGGGTGGGTGAGTGGGAAGAAAAGGAGAGGCAAAGAGAGAAATGTTATTTCCACAACCCATACAAAAAGCAGGTTCTGCAAATGTAGTGTGGGTTAGTGGAGTGGGAGGTTTCCCTGAAGGTTTCAGCCTTTATCAGCACCAGGAATGAAAAAGCATTGAATATGCCCCTCTCAAATGCAGACTTCTAAAATCAGGTAATCAAAGACATAAGCTGTCTGATTATTGTATAAATGATCCCGTTTCAAAAAGACAGTTTATTATTGATAGCAAATTTATATTTTCATTCATTCTTAACATGCATTAGTGTGTACTCTGGCTTTGTGCTAGTGTAAATTTTGACTGAGGTCTTATAGTTAAGCTTCTTTTATTCTTAGGTTGCCTTCTTATAAAAAATTACAGCCTTATAGTCAAAATTTTTTGCAATCATTTAACCTAGAAGTTTTACACAGCTACTTAACCATTTTAAAACACTGTAACTGTTGTGATGCCAGATATAAAAGAAAACAATTTCATTGAAGAATATATAGGACACTTGTAACATATATTCACTGATTTGTATATACTCTGTTTCTAGCTGATTTCAACAGTGCATGAACAATTTTGGTGGACAGTGAAAAAATACAGCGCTGACCATGCCTTCTAGATCTTGGTAGTTGCAAATAATCTGGCATCCTCTGAAACATTTGAACATATGGCAAAAGTACTTAGTAATATAGTTTGAGGCAGAAGAGATAGCAGGTAGTATTTTCTCCTTATAACCCTGTCTTAATCACCATTGTGTCAAACTGACCTTGGAAATCTATTATGTTGAAGTAGATAGTTGTGTTCATGAGGTTTAGATCAAGTAGAATTAAGAAACTTGCCTAGAGGACTCTCTGAATCCCTTTTAGTCTCAAGAATCCAGGCTCTTTTAGGATCTCATCATTCTGTGTTTTTGCATAATACTGACAGTACATACATTATTCTCCTATCATTATTAGGACCGCTTGAGCAAACAAAAGAATGTTTTCAATGATCAAACTGAGGTTTCCTTGGAGACTTCATCCTTTCCCACGCCACATTCAGAAGCCAGATATCTCTCAGCCAGTTAGGGGCAAGTTTGACTAAATATTCCTTGCAAAGATTTGGAAATGCTATTATAGCATGATGAATGAGGAACAGAAAGGAAGGGAACAATGCTGCTTGTACATTTTAAGTTTAAGTGATGGGTTTACAAAGCAAGGATAATTAGGGCCTATTGGCCAGAATGCAAGCAATCTAATTACCATCAACGCTTTTGAGCACTAAGAGTGGGATTTCAAATTTATAATTATTTAATCAGAAAATCTGAAAAATATCTTAAGCATTAATGTTTGTGAACATATTTGTTAAAATAAAAGCTGTACCTTGTAATAATGTTGAAATAGATTTTGGAAAACTTTTTAGCATGCCAAACAACTCACTTAAAAATGCTCCCTATTTATTCCTAGAGTTGCCAAGATTGTAGAGACAGAAGGTATAATGGTGATTGCTAGGAGAGAGGAATGAGGCGTTAGTGTTTAATGGGTACAGAGAAGATGAAACGGTTCTGGAGGTGGGTGGTGGCAATGACTGCACAACAGCGTGGATGTAATTTTTGCTGTAGAACTATATACTTAGAGATGGTTAAGGTGGTAAAATTTATGTTATGTACTTTTTAACCACAATGATAAAATGTTACCAACTTAAATCTATTTTTATTCACTAGGGCCAAATTATTAGAAAGTGAAGCAGTGAATGAGAACCTTCGAAAAAATTTGACAAGAGCCACAGCAAGATCACCGTATTTCAGTGGATCATCAGCTTTCTCTCCTATAGTCTCCTCAGACAAAGAGACCATTGAAATTATAGATCTAGCTAAGAAAGATTTAGAGAAGCTGAAAAGAAAAGAAAAGAAGAAGAAAAAAAGGTAGTGTTATAAAATCACTGCTATATGAATCCCTGTTTTTCTTACTTTTCAAGATGCTTTATTTTGCGATTACAATGCGTATAAATAGTCTCATAAGTATATTAATGAGTGAAATATTTAAATTAGGTGACAGTTATATTTATATACTTTTAAAGATTTATCTCTATATGTAAAGAATAAATTTAATTATAATAATATGGTAGTAAATTTTATTTAGACTATGACAAGGTAAAATTACTATTAGAAGTTATTTCTTCAAATAGCTGCTTTTGCATTCCATTCATCTTTTCTGCAAAGCTTGTTCTGCCGTTGCTCAGTATTTTTTTTTTCCTCCATTTTCTAATACGATTAAATAGTCTCATGATATATTCAGCTTCCTGTCTAGATTAGTTTAACTAAAGGCTAAACTAATCCATCAGGCTGTCATTTAATGTCATTTGGTCTCTTAAGTATTTTCTGCAGGGCTTCTAATTTGATTGTGTAAAAGTTATTTATGTTATTTCAGGCTTTCTGACTTCCCACAAGGAGTTACTCAGCTTTTCACCACTGTTCTAGGCTTCCTTTTCCTTGCATCCTGGTAATATCTCCCTCTGAAATCAGCTGGATGCAAAGAAGAGGAGGAAAATTAAAATTGTAATGTGTGAGTGGTTAAAACCTCATAAATTGTTTACATGTTCACCTATTGATTCTGTATGCAGTCAAATTACTTACTTAGAATATATTTTGAACATACCAGGCAAATTAATTTTAAACATTTTTGGCTAGATATTCCAAAGGGGGAAAAGACATCTTATTTGTCACATAGTTTGTTACAGGGTATATACTTTGTGTAATTATTATTGACATTTAGTCTACCTGCTGCTTTACTCAGTTTATTTAGAAATTTATTTAGACAACCAGACATTTCTTCCTTGAATAGTCAGTTGACCAAAATTATTGGAGACAAATTCTTCAAATCAATTCTGCTGTGTGTCCCTGAGTTAAAATGGAATGATTAAAGTAATTAAAACAATGAGCTGCACAACTATGATTTGGAGGCATTGCAATTGAAATTGCATTCTCAAGATGCTAATATTTTAACAGGTGTTTCTCATGGGTGACTGACGGCAGCATTAAAAAATACGCAATGATTAGCTCTTACGCAGGGCAATTAAAAATGTAACAGTATTCACAGAATTACCAAAACCAGTGTGACCCAATATACTGTGGGAATGAAAATGAGACTTTGCACGTGACTTATCATTTATTTGTAAAAGTCAGTTGTATAGTTGGTCAAAATGTGAAATGGTATGACTTGTTTTTAAAGATGTAGGTGGTTTGCGTTCATGACTAACAAGTAAGGATAAGCAGGGTGTATTTCTCAAGGTCATGAGCTGATTCTGCTCTTTCCTTCTGAGGTAAATTTAGAGATGTTATCATGATCACCTTTTGGGTATGAATAATGAAAAATAGATAGGGATCCTAGTGGAAACCTAGGCTGTTTTGACATTTTAATAGTGATCATAGTTACCCTAAATTAATTCCTCTGATGCAGGTTATTTTCGTGGCAATGTCGAGTTGTACACATTTTGACTCTTGAATAGTACTAAAGAAGAAACATTTTATTATTAAGATTTGTTTCTGTTGCTTTATGATAGAACTCCTAACCATTTAAAGTTAAAAAATTTAGATAAAACAGCAACTATTTAAGAGTGAAAAATTGACTGTTTCAGTGATTGTGGTAGATGTAATAATTATTATGATAAAAACGATAGCAGATGTTAATACTAAGAAGACCGCATCAAACAACTGGATTTAAATGTGAAAAAGTTATTTCCTAACCAAGTGTGATGTGGGATAAAAAAAAAATTTGTGAGAAGGAAATCCCAAGCCAGAAAGGTAAATTTAGAGATGTTAACCTTAATTATCTGTGAAGCAAGTGAAAGATAGCTTAGAATGAGAGAAACAAATGGATACTTCCTAAAAATTAATAATTCCTATATGGTGCTTTAAAATGCTTAATAAAAGCATTTTCACACACATGCTATAATACGTCTTGATGAACTGTGATCTATATATTATAGTGCGAACCTAGAAAAATGTTCTTGTGTACCATAAACTGTATAACTAGAAAAGCCTTTAGAATCAATTTATGAATTTATATTACTATATACATAAATTTGTAGAACTTAATAGAATTTTTCTTACCACATTCTTTTCAAGCCCTGTAGATTAAAAAATGAAACTCATACTGTTTTTCTCAGCTTGATAATTCATTTCGTTTATCACCAATAACTATTAGCTGTATGTAATGTAAATTCCTATTTTTTTTAATGTTGGTAAGCTCTCACTTAGCCAAAGGATTTGCTACAGATTGAAACAAACAAATAATAAAGAGTTCCAAAAGTGTTTAGAATGACAGCAGCGTTACTGAAGATAGTCTTCCACGGGAACTCTTTGACGGCAATAGCTCCTGTTTGGATGTACTGATTCTGGTTGAGTTGTATTATATGCCTCATACTTATTTTATTTATCAAAGACAGCACTGCAAAATTTGGTCCTCTCTTAACATATATAGTAAGTTCAATTAAAAATTGTTTGGAGCTTGAAACTAATTTTTCTCCTGAAAGTGTTACAAATACATAATGTCCAGATTTCCCAACTCACTCACATAAAATGATTTTTACTCGTTTGATAGTGTGGTAAGAGAAATTCAAACGGGAATAGGAAAAGGGAAAGAGAGGAGAGAAACTTTCTCTTTCATGAACGTAGACCAGCCTTTAGGGGGAAGTTTGAATTTCTCCCTTGGCCATGCTCTCTTACTCCCATCTGCTGACCACCTTTGTCCATCCACATGCTGCCTTGGTCCCTTTCTTCCTTAGAGGTCAGTTCTCATGTAATTCTTCCTCAGCCTGAAGTACTCCCAGTTTCAAAAATCATCTGCTTTCTTCTCTCATCTCCTTAGTTTCAAAGTTGGGAGCAAAGCGGTGTGACTAAAGAGACTCATACCAGTGGAAATGACTTATAACAAATAGGCTTCCTCTAGGGGTATTTGTAATTTTGAAAGAGGGAGCCTCCATCCAACTACTGACCGTTTGGACAGCAACTTTATGAAGAAAAAAGAAGTTAAGTAGTATAGGGAAGATTATTTTTTTACCCCGTTTGTAAGTGTTGGTAGAAAGAGTGGCCAATGGATCATTTTTATGTCAGAAGCTACATTTGTGTTCAAGGAGAATGCCTTAAGTCTTGTTTCACATGAAAGTTTCACCCTCGTCAGCATCAAAGTCTTCATCAAAACTACTATCAGTAGCTGGTGTATGGGGTTTAAAGGTTGACTCTTCTGCCTTTCTGTGCTTGTTTTCTGTTGAGCTGTAAAATAATCCGAAATTATGGATAATATGAAAATAAGGGAGAATAACTGAATAGACTACATTATCTTTTTTTTTTTTCCTGGTTACAGCAGTGTTGCAGTGGTTAACAAGATTTGTCTCCTCCCCCACTCTTTTAACGATGGAAGAGGCATTATAATGGAGCTAAATGAAATAAAACCTGAACTCTTTAAATCATGGAGAAGTATCAGATTATTAGTTTATATCTCTGCCCCTCCACTGTCTTTTGGAATTACTGATTGTACTCGTTTTTAGAGGCAACTGGGAAGGCATGTAAAGTGTATCTCCTTATTAGCGCACATCATCCACTCATTGTAACATAGCTCTCCTGTGTAAGGCAGACAAAGATTCTGCACGTTGAAAATAGAAAATGTGGGAATTTTGCCTAGGAACCATATCCTTTGAGCCATTGTAGCTCGTTATCATCAGTATAAGCCTAGGCATAAAAACTTTTGCATTTTTTGTGTGTATGTGGATAAAGAAAATTTACCATTCACACATTCATCCCCATATTTTTGGATATCTAGCTTTAAATGACTTTCATTATATTAAAAAAAAAACTTCGCTTGTCCGACTGCATTCTGTGTATTTAGTGGTGTCAGGTTGAAACTCTAGAAACACAGGGGATTTCTTAGGCGATGGCATTTCTTTCCCCTTTCTAGCCATTATACTGGACATTTTGATTCCTGGTGAAGGTCACTCGGCAGTATTTTCTTCTCTGAAAGATTGCTGGTCTCTTGTTGCAACAGTAGTCTATAAGCTGATCGTGAAAAGCAGTCACAGGCTAACATTATAAAAGGAGAATGAGAACTGGCTTGATGAAGTCATTCATAGCGAAGACTCAGTCTCTTCATTTTAAAATATTGATGATTCTGAAAATTATTTTTGGAATTCCAGGCAGAAATGTACTATATCAAGATTGCTTTATGCTTAATTAGAGCCTGGCACATCTGTCTTTTTGTCTACATGACAGATACTGGTGCTCAGTACATTCCATTGAGTAAAGATTCCCAGTTCTGTGCATTGAACATCATTTCAAAGCCTTTAGGTACATGTTTATAGTTTTTCTCATACTTTTCTGCTTGAAAAATAATCTTACTAATGGAAAGTACTACATTTCCCATTTTACTGCCACCTTTGCCTTAGATATGTCTTTCTGGTAGTTGAGTAATTAGTACAGTGATATTAATTTTCAGTTAATAAAATTACAGTTTTCCATTGATATCATAACAACCATATTCATTTGACCATAACACCATTTCATGTATAATTTTGAAATATAATTATTTTTTTTAGATTTAGTGATGTTCATATGTAGTGTATTAAAATAGAAAACAAGTTTTAAAACTAGTATACTAGTATGTAGTATTAATGGTATTTTCATGTTGTGGTATAAAGGCATTACTTTTTGAAGCTCTTTTAATGATGCCATAAAAAAATCTTCTCTAAAAGTTTAAATGGAAGAGGATATCGTTGAAAGTGGGCTTTTTTTTTTTTTGGAAGCTGAGAAAATTGATCCATTTCAGGTTAAGAAAAGCAATTGTATCCAAATAGTCTTACTATTTATCAACTTTATAAATTGAGACTATACATTTTACTGCTGAATAGTTTCAACTGATGGTCTATATAGTCTTCTTAGATATAATGCTGCTTGTTTTTTCTACTTACTTTTTATTCATGCAAAATGTATTGCCTTTTTACTGTGTATTGTCCTTTGATGATTATCTTTTAAAATTTATTTTAAAGTCTTCAAGCTCATGTATCATTTTTACCTTCTTATCACTTTCGCTTTTTACTGTCTGGTTTGTCCTTCATTGGCTTGGCCTTCCAATACTGTGCCTCGTGATTTTGAAGGCTACAGAAACTTGAGGAAAGCAATCGAGAAGACAGAAGGTTGGAATATTTCCCAGGTTTTTTATTGAAATGTCATTTAAATACTTAGTTGCCATTTGCAGGGAAATGTGTTATAGAATTATGGATTGTTTCAGACAAGATCAGTTTGGTGCTCCTAAATATAATGGTGATTTTATAAAATTAGCAAAAACACCAAAAATATTAAAAAAAAAACTTTTCGAGAATAAAACCCACACTGGTTATATGAATTAAGATTTAGGCAATTTCATGTGAATTTACAATAAGCTATCATAATTCTGATGGCGAAAAATGACCCAAGAACACCATTTGACTTTCAGAAAATACCTTTCAGAAACTTGTGAGCAGGAAGGGAGTTATTAATTTGGTGGGAATTAACATCTTGTTGCAGCACATACTAAATCATGGGTGGGCTCCTCTCTTCTCTTCCTTATTTGGTGAAAACTTTGTTGGGAAAACAACATTAAAATGGCAACAAAGTAAAAGGAAACTGTGGCCTTACTACAGATAAGATAAGGCATATTTAAGGTTGAATTATGAAATATAAAAACAAGTTTTGCTTTTAAAGTGTATCTGAAGTGAGCATCAAAAACAGGATCTTCTGGGTTTTTTTTTCCATTTGAAATTTGAGCAAATTTAAAGGCGCACTTCTGAACTCTCAGTATAAGAAAATTTTGCATTTTACTCATTCAGTATTAGGATTATTTAACCAAGTATCAAGTAGTATTTTCTTCTTACTAGAATTTCTCTTTGTAGATTTTTCTAAACATGTCTCTTGGTTACATAGTCAAAATCATTAAGAAAATAAACTGGTTTCAAAATAATATTAAATGTTTTAGAAGCACCACTTTTGATATTTCATCTCTTAAAATAAGCCTTTTGAGAAGTTTTACTATGCAACAGTCAGTTAAACTAATCTATAAATAGGGGAAACCTTAAAATTATATTTTCTTTAAGTCATTTAATAATTTATATTTCACAGTTATATTTTATGGTATTCTGAAGTTTCTATAATTTATTCCATAGCTTACTTAGAATATTCTATAATTAGAATGTAATTCTGTCTGTAGGTTGTCTTAGGACTCACCAAATTAGTTCATATTTAGGACATTATGTTTATCCTTGGAATTAAATTAGGGCATTAGAAATGTGAAAATTTTTCTATTTTGAAAGGCCAAAATAAGATGCATAGTTAAAGTAGTGTCATGTAAACATTTTCCCGCCTTAAAATAGCTAAATGTACTTAGTGAAGAGTGTTTGCTTCCAGTTTGTATGTAATCCCTAGAGGGAAACAAAAGCAGAATGGTTTGGCGCTCTAGGACAGGGCTTCTCAAACATGAACCTGCAGATCGGTAACCTGGGGAGTTTGATAAAATGAAGGTTCTGACTCAGTAGGACTGAGGTGGAGCCTGAGATTCTGCACATCAGGCAAGCTCCTGGGTGTTGCTGATGCTTCTTGTCAGTGAACCAAACTTTGAGACAGCATTCTAGAATATTGGCCTTGGAGTCGTGACACCGGGCTTTAAGTCCCCTTGAGCTGATTGGCTTCCCCAGGCCACAGTTTCTTTTTTGGTTGTCAACGAAAGTGTTGACCTTGGTTGTCAAGTGTCAAAGGGTTTAAGCCACTTGGTCACGAGTGTTCCTTCCAGCTCCAAGATTCTGATTCTGTGTAAAGTGCATTCTATGACTTTTCATTGCTGCTTAGTTATTTTAGATGGAAAATTTCCTTAACTTATTGAGAAACTTGAATATTTGACATACAATAATCACAAAGTATCAAACTGTACTTTAAAAACTTACATCTTTAGTGATTTATAAAGGTGAATAGATAATGTAAACTTACAACCGCTGATTTTTCCGCATCAGAATTGGCACAAGCACCTTATAAGAAATGCGTTAACTTTATATAGATGTGAAAAGTAATGTTTGTTACCCTGGATTCTAGTGATTTGGAGGGAGCAAGAGGGTGTGTTGGGTCAAGTCTTTGGAATAAGGTGGTTGTACAAACCTGAATGAAAGGGAATTTGGGTTGGAACTTGATGTAAGGAAGGAACAAAAATTGTAGGCCACAACAGTTGCAGGTGAGGAAGGGAGACTGCACAGGGGAGGGAATGAGGGATGCTGACGGGAGATGCCTTTCCTAACACACACTCCTTTCCTAGCCCTAAGCCTTGGGCCTAAATCTCAAGGAGAGCACTGCTTGAGCACATGGTGCTGGCCTTTGAATCAGATGATTGGATGAAAGGGGAGTTTCTTTCCAGATTTTCAGCTTGGAATGAATGATGATAGAAAGCCAACGGCCTTATTATAATACAAGTGATGTAAAACTGGCATTCAGTTATGTTCAGCATTTTTCTCTTAATAAGTGATTTAACAAACTCATTTTATAATGGACATGCTGCCTCTCTAGTTAAGATGGTTTTATTGCTGGTCCTACTGGTAGTTTCTTCTCACTCTAGAGATTCGGTGTCTTCCGTGCATCTTTGTGCATCTTTCAACATGTGCTGTTCTGCTCCAATGTAATTAGTGTGTGAGACACAGGCAGAGGTGCCAAACAGAGATGCTCATGCACATTCATAGGGACTAATATAGTTTACAAATAGTTACTGCACATTTATTATGCACACCCTCTGGGTACTGGGCATGCGATGCTGGGCCATACAGACACGATCCGTGCCCTCAGGAGGCTTACAGTCTAGTGGGGAAGATAGAAATTAATGAAAATAATCACATAAATAAACATAAATTAAGAACTCTGAAAAATGCTTACGAAGGAAAAGTATTTATGTTCATCTTGTTCTGAGTACAAAAATGTCTGAGAATTGGGACCTAGAATTAAACATTAGATGGAGTTTAATAATAAGAACAGGGTCTAAATAAGATTAATTTTTCAGCTTAGAAGCTAAAAAAAAAATCCATGAATTAGAGTAGTTATTTGGTGTAGCAGAATATCTGAAAGAAATCATAGCTGTTATAAAGTTATTCTGATGAAATTTTTAAGCTCTTTCTAGAGGAATTTTATTTGGAGAATATTGCCTTATTCAAGTACTCTTTTTATTCTTAATGATTAAAAATTTTTTACCATAGCACAAGAAGAAAATTTTTCATAGGTAGACTCATTTAAAGTTCACTTTCTTAGTATTATTTAAGTTGGATTAAATGTATGAACCGTAACATTACCTGACAGCAGTGTGTAGTCAGGGCTGTTATACCGATAACTGAAGAGGAGGATTCTGTTTGCTTGGTGAATCTTGAGCAGATCCTGGAATTTCCTGTTCAGTCAGAGGTCAGGCTGAACTTCAGATAGTTTTGAAGTACAAAGACCCATTTCTGTGAGAACATTATGAGAAACAGCCCTGTGGTATAGGCACGCCTAGGAGAAAAGCCCCTGTGCTGTTACCCAGAGAGACCAGAACACTGCAATGGGTGCAGCCAGTGTAGACAAACTTACTGTGGGCAGATTTATTCTGATCTTTAAATTTACTCTTAAATGTATTAGGGCATCAATTAAAAAATGCAGTTTCTGTAT